TTCTTATTTTTGATATCTCTTTTATCTCTCTTTTTCTTTTCTATTTCTTTGTCGATCAAATATATCGCACGAATTCTATTTATTATATGAATTGTAACGATAGGTCAAAAGAAGACTGTTAAAATTTTCTTTCACATAGAAATTATGTACATAAAAATCTCCATGAAGAAAATGAAGAAGAATATATTTATTCAATAAATTGTTTTCTCTTGAATATTGCGTTTGTAGTTGTTTAATTAATTGTAAGAAAAAAAAAAAAAAAACAAACAAACGAGAGAAGAGAGATGGAGAGAAATGTAGAGAGAGAGAGAGAGAGAGAGAGAGATAGAGAAAGAGAGAAAAGATAGAAAAAAAAAAGAAGGAAAAAGAAAGAAAGAGAAAGAAAGAGAAAGATCAACGACATCGAGGAAATACGTAAGCGATTTATGTACGTATGTAAGTTAGTTGTGTGGGATGGATATGTGCATGCCGCGTGTGTAGGTCGATTCTCTCCGGCGAGGTGCAACACGTGGTTGTTGCGCGTAACGATTCTCGAGGCGTGTGATTCTCAAACGAGACGAGTTCGCGTTTAACGATTCCAAATAGGTTTTCTTTCATTCTCGATATAACTTCATTCTCGGTAATACCATATATCTATCTAAAATCCATCTAAAATGCGTAAAGATTAATTTATGCGATGTTAATTTAATAAGGAAAAAGAAAAAAAAAGAAAAAAAAAGGAAAGTCCTATCGAATGGTGTTTCATAATTTAACGTATTTTAATCGTTAGAAATTTATTACTATATATATATTTTTTTTTTTTATAATTATTTAACTAAATTAATTAATCCATCGATATTTGTCGTTAGATGATTTCATAATATACGCGTTTGTCGTCTTTTGCGTTATAGAAGAAAAAACTTAGGAAGGAAGGAAATAGAAAAGAAAAGAAAAAGAAAACGAAAAAAAAAAAAGGAAAAGAAACATAAGATATTGAACGAGAGTATGAGATACATATGACATTGAGATCGTTCAAGGTAAAATTTCGACGCAAGCAAACGTCGAATTAGCTTGCACGATATTGGCAAATAGTCTGTTCACACCTGAATATGGCGGTCAACGTCCAGCATGAGTCACGTTCAAAAAATCCTGTTCGGTCCATTTCCAAGTAGGTATTAAGATTGAAACGTCTACGTGGATATTTCGCTATTATAATATATAGCCTAAATGTTATCTTTTTAACTAACTACTCGACGACTCCCGGATTCCTCCTTGATTGACAAGACTTCGAACGGTGAAATTTTTGAAATGATTTGCGTTTGTTTCGTTGTGATCTTGACCACGCTCATTTCTTTTATCTTTTTTCTTTTCTTTTCTTTTTTCAGTTCTTTGTTTCTTTTCTTTTCTTTTCTTTTCTTTTCTTTTTTTTTTTTTCCTTTTTTGTTCTTCTCGACAAGTCGGGTCAATGAACTCTTTTTAACACAGTCGAATAATCTCATCCTGACACGATCGACGTTACCAAGATTATTCATCCTACTTATATAAATATATATATATATAAATATGTGTGTATACAAGCATTATAAATCGTGAAATATCATTTCAAATTAAAAATCTCGATAATTTTATTATTCTCTTAAGAATATAATTTTGGGTTTAATTAAAATTATTATACATCGTATTATCTATTGTAAAAGATTAAATTATTGGGTGATTTGATAAAAACGAGATATATGTTAAATCGATCAAACATATCGATTACATTATGTCTGTCAATCGTAGAGTTACGAGAAACGTGAAACATTGAAAAACACGTAGAACCTGTAGAATATGTTACGCCGTGCATATTTCATAGAGAGAAGAAAAAAGAAAAAAGAAAAAAAGAAAAAAAAAAGGGAGAAAGAAAAAAATCCGAGCAAAACTCGTGTGAATCCATTAGAAATTCGTTAGAAGGTGCGATAGAACGAATATCGATTATTTACCGTTCGTCCTTTGATTTGGATTTTTTCATCTTTCTCTTTTCTTCTTTCTTTTTTTTTTCTTTTTTCTCTTCTAAACGTTCTTTCTAAATTTCCACGATAGACGTGTAAAACGTTGTAAATTATATTCAACGCATAATAAAATTTAACTTTACGAGGGTGTAGATGCAAAAAACAAGCTGTTGCGTTGCCCTAGGTGGATGAAAAGGAGAGAGAAAGAAAGAGAGAGAGAGAGAGAAAGAGAGAAAGAGAAAGAGAGAGAGAGAGAGAGAGATAACGTGAATGTGTGCAACATAGAGAAAGAGAGAGAAACGTATAACAGATGTAGTGTGGGTGTAGGAGTCGAGAGTGTATGGCAGACGATGTCCGGCCATGACCCTGCTCCGTTGGTCGAGCCTCCTCTCTTTGCGGAGAAAGAGAGAAAGAGAAAGAGAAGGAGGTGGAGGAGGAGGATGAGGAGGTGGTGGAGAAAGAGGAGGAGGAGGCGAACGTGCACTCGCTGGCTTGCTCGAAGTAGAGAAGGAGAAAGAGTATAGTAGATGGAGAGACCACTGGTCAGCCACACCGCAGTAAAACGCGCTATAAAACGCGATGCAACGGGGTCTCTCTATCTTTCTCTTTCTTTTTCCTTTTCTTTCTCTTTCTCTCTCTCTCTCTCTTTCTTTTTCTTTCTCTTTTTTCTCTCTTTCTTTTGCTCTGTCCTTTTTCTCTCTCTCTCTCTCTCTCTCTTTCTTTCTCTTTCTTTCTCTTTCTTTCACGTGGCACGCATCAAAGGGTCCGGTCAAATCTCTCGATTGTCGATCTTCTTTCTATCCGCGTTGTTTCCTAGTAATAATTCATCTTAGTTATCAAACGTAATCATATCGTTTCTATTTCGAATAAAATCCAAAAAGAAAATTAACGAACTATCTTAGTTCGAGTTAATTGAATGTTCATCGTAGTTACGTTCGTTCGATTACGGAATCGCTTTTATAAAATTGAACAGAAAGAAAGGAATAAAAAGATAAAAGTATATTTAATAGAACGTTAAAAAGAAGCAATGAAAAATCAAATTGTTTAAAACTCGTTATAATAACGTTATCCAAGTGTAATTATATTTATAATATAATCGATTTAATGTTTTTTTCGCGAATGGTCGTTTCGTGAAAGATAAATAAGTAAAGAAGTAGATACGTAGAAATTAATAATGTATTATTCAAAGAAATTTTAATACTATACACACATACACACATACACACATATATGTACATATATATTTAAAGAAATTTTTAATCATTTCGTTAGAACCAATATGAACGAGAGGATGCGCGCTCGCGCGTTATATTCGATCTATAAAAGTAAGGATAATTCAAAGTATGATAATTCTTAGGATAGATTTGAAATCATTGAAATAAATGATCGTTAATAAAACGTGTAAAAGTTCCAAGGAAAATTTAACTTCGAAATGGCGATGGGTCAAAGGCCGCCGTCAAAGTTGCCCGCGTACGTACGTACGTTCGTTCGTTCGTTCGTTCGTTCGTTCGTTCGTTCGTTCGTTCGTTCGTTCGTTCGTTCGTTCGTTCGTTCGTTCGTTCGTTCGTTCGTTCGTTCGTTCGTTCGTTCGTTCGTTCGTTCGTTCGTTCGTTCGTTCGTTCGTTCGTTCGTTCGTTCGTACGTTCGTTCGTTCGTTCGTTCGTACGTTCGTACGTTCGTACGTTCTCGCGCGGTTTTCTAAACGGAAATAGTAACGCGACGGAGAGAAAGAGAAAGAAAAAGAAAAAAAGAAGGAGAAGGGGAATAGGCGGGCGAGGGTCAATAACCATACTTGCCGTGCTTTTGAGAGCAAGAAGATGCAGAATTGCGGCGGTGGGAGCTCGTGTGGTTGCATCAAATCGGGGCTTTCGGGTAGTATTTATAGAAACAGCTGTGGGCAGGCCCGCGTATTGCCGACGTTGCTGTGTCGGTGGAGTAGAGATCGCGAAAATCTACTTTCTCCATCTCTCTCTCTCTCTCTCTCTCTCTCTCTCTCTCTCTCTCTCTCTCTCTCTTTTTCTCTTTCTCTCCTCGAACGCATTTTAGCGACGTAAAACTTCCCCCTCGTCATCGCTCTAAAAACGTAAGTGTGGCAATCACGATTACGCGGGCGTAAGATGAGATTTCTCTCTTCGGGAGACTTTTAGTCTCCGTTTAAATTTCAAATTGGAAATGAGAACACGGAAAAGAGAGAGAGAGAGAGAGAGAGAGAGAGAGAGAGAGAGATCGAGAATCGAGATAGTAGAAGGAGATAGAGAGAGAGAAGGGAGCGTCTGTATACTTTATAAAAAATGTAGCGTATTCGTCATTGTAAATTGTCGGATAGAATCCTCTCTCTCTCTCTCTCTTTCTCTCTCTTTTTCGCTCTTTCGCTCTTTCGCTCTTTCTTCTCTCCTCTTCTCTTCTCTCGTTTCATTTTCTTTTTCATCCAGAAAAGCTAAAAGATCTCTTTCGTAAGGTTCTTCAAAAATTCATTAGACTCGGCGACAGAAATCGTCTTTGACTCTTTTCTCTCTCTCTCTCTCTCTCTTTCTCCCTTTCTCTCTTTCGCTTTCGTCGACGATTCGTTATCACGAGCGAGTAAACCATACTTTATCTCGAAACGCGAAGCAGACACTCGAGAACCGCAGCACTTCTTTTTATCTCTTCGCATCCACCGTGCGCTCTTTATCTCTTCTCTCTCTCTCTCTCTCTCTCTCTCTCTCTCTCTCTCTCTCTCTTTCTTTTTTTTCTTTCTTCTCTCTTTCAGTCTATCAATCGTTCACGGTACGATCGAAACC